GGGTGCAATTCTACTCTGTTCTCAGGGGGCACTGTGAGTCAGAATCAACTCCATGGCAGTGGGTTTACAGGAAAGCTTACTTGCCTCCTCATGCACACATGTACCCTAGCTGCGTGGCACCCCTGTAGCCCCCACGTCCTGGGTATACAATAGGCCAACTCTACTGAAAGGCTCATGCCTGTGCCAGTCCCTGGGGCAGAGTACTGGGCCTGGTGCAGAATCAGAACCTAGTTCGTGTCTGAAACTCACGAAGCCCCTTCTGTGTCCAGATCTCCCTCGGGGAGGGACTCATCACAGCTGGGGCCCAGCTGGTGGAGCTGGACTTGAGCGACAATGCCTTTGGGCCCGACGGCGTGCGCGGCTTCGAGGTCCTGCTCAGGAGCTCGGCCTGCTTCACCCTGCGTGAACTCAAGCTTAACAACTGCGGCATGGGCATCGGTGGAGGCAAGGTGGGTGCTGTGCCTCCCCTCGTCCCCTCCGCCCTCACCCACTCACTCAGTCCCTGGCTACGTCTGCACCTGTCCGAAGTGTGCTCCAGCACCTCGTCTCGGCCTGGTCTGGCATGATTGTCTGTCATTGTTTCTTTTCCGAGGAGAAAGGCCTCAAAGGCAGCAGCCTATGGCTAGCCGCAGAGGAGACGGAGTCTGGGAGTTGGGTTGCCAAGCAACCATCCCCAGTTCTTATGTTGCCTTGACAACACAGGGCATGTTGCATCCGTGCTCTGACCTGCTGGCTGTGCAAAAATGCAGTCCTCGGGGCATTCCCAGAACTGCTGTGCTCCCAGAACAGTGGCAGAGCTCAGGGCGGGACCTGGTGTGTGCACACGCTCAGGGAGGCCCGGGCCCAGCATGCCTTGTTCCTGACACCCTGCTCTAGATGCCTCCCAGCCCTGGCACTGGGTCCTGTTGGTCAGTGTAGAGCGGAGCCCTTTCCAGAGCGTGTGCTCTGCAGGCTGCCAGCCCCTGCTCCTCCTCATCAGGTCCATCCTGGCTTTTTCAGTCAAGGGTCCTGGGTCCCAGTCTGCATCCCCTGCCTTCTGTTACCCACCCCCCATTTACCCCCTCCCCGAGACTGACCCCTACTCTACAAAACAGAAAAGGGCTGGGGACCCAAGGACTGATGTCAGTTAAAACATCTCTTTGTGTGGAAAAAGAGCGCTGGCATTGTGGGAAATTGCAGTCAAAATCATGAGACAAAGTGTGTGTGAACTGCTGTATGGAAAATGAATTTGCTCTGTAAACTTTCACCCAAATCACAATAAAAATTAAAATAAAAAAAAAAAAAAAGACATCTCTTTGAAGATGTATTGTACATACCCGTGGAACTTTCCCCTCTCCACTGAAAGGTGAGCCTTTGTGGCTTAGAGAGGCAGACGGAGGGCCCAGATCCCACAGCTCCCGCGATCCAGTCCGTGGAAGGTGGGATTTGCCCCTTCGTCTGTGAGCCTCCATTCGGACCAGCAGGAAGAGCCCGGGGGTGTGTGTTGTGCTCCAAGCTGAGGATGGTGAGAAACCTGTCACCATGCACCCTTGGAAGGGAGAGCAGGGCCCTCCAGGCCTGCCCCAGCCCTGCTCTGTCCTGGTGTGAGACCAGCACTCAGTGAACCGTGGATCTGATGGGGCAACAAGCCGGCTGCATCCCGTGTGAGCATGGCAGTGCCAGTACAAACACAGGTGCAGCCCGACCTAGAGGGGGTGCTGGAGGAGACTTGTTCCTGTAAGACACCCTGGCTTCCAGTGTCACTGCTGTGCAGCAGTCCCAGGAGGAAGGCAGTGTTCACCTGTCTGCTTCATTACTGTTGCGGGCACCAAGGCCCCCAGAACTTCCCCCGGAGCTAAAGGGCAGCAGGGGTGAACTGTGAGGTTCTGGGCGCGTGTGGGGTGTGGCTGTTGTGGGGCCAGCACCTCTGTCTCCTTCCCCACCACCAGTGTGTGGCGTGGGATGCAGCAGCCCAGAGGCCCTGGCTGCCCCGTGGGGTGAAGGATGTCCTGCCGCTGGCTGGACCCTGCCTTTTCCCCGCAGATCCTGGCAGCAGCTCTGACGGAGTGTCACTGCAAGTCCAGTGCCCAAGGCAAGCCGCTGGCCCTGAAGGTCTTCGTGGCGGGCAGGAACCGGCTGGAAAACGATGGAGCCACTGCCTTGGCGGAAGCTTTTGGGGTGAGTGGTTCTGGCCACCCTGACCGCGATGGCCTGAGGTGGGCTGAGCTCAGGAGGCCCGCGGTCCTGCGTGAGAAGCCCAGCTCCATCATACCTAGTGCTTAGCCGAGACATCAGGGCTCTGTTACCTGGCATTGCTTCACCCGCCGAGCCTGTCAGCTCGGCCCCCTCTTGTGTGTGTCCGCAGTCATGCACTCCCCCACTGCTGAGGGATGGGCAGGGACTCTGATCTGTGAGTGGGGTCGGTCCGGCTCTGAGCTGGGGAGTGGTGGCACCAGAGCAGCGTGTGTGCTAGTGCGTCTGGCCCGTCCGGAGCTCACTGGCCTCTGGACTGGACCCAGAGATGGAGCAGCTTGGACTTGCCCTTGAGACCAGGAGATGGGTGGGAGCAGGGAGCAGCCCAGGGGCAGGAGAAAAGCATCCTCTGTCCTCCTCTCCTGCTTCCCTGCCACTCTGCGGCCCACCCCTGCTACCCAGGGCACGCCCCGTCCCTGACGGTGAGCCCGTGCCTGCCCCCCGCAGGGCCGGGGCCCAGGGTGTGTCTGCTCCTCTGATGTAGGTAGGTGTGCGCGCTTCCACGGCATTCTAGCGGTGCACACTCAGCTCCGGCCCCACAGTCCTGGCCACTTACAGCAGCCACTGCCGGATCTGCCTTCAGGCCCTCCCCTGCCTCCGTGTGAGCGGACGTGTAGCGGACAGCTGCCTGATGTTTCGTCCGGACCCCTTAGGCTGCAGGGCACTCCTGCCTCCTTGCTGACCTCTGCAGTGGGAGCTGGAGGGGGACTGATTCCCATCCTTGTACTTTAAACGGCATGTCTCCCACGCCCTTCCCCTTGGTCCCCGTCCTCCTGACACCGGGGACAGGGCTACATTGTTTTCAGTGATCCTTTGTGATGTGTCCTCTGGTTCTCTTCGAGTGGGGCTTGTAACCCAGGGTTCCTGGGGTCCCCCAGTCAGTGGATAGGGTTCAGGGTCCGTAAGCGTACGTGGGAAAGTGGCGCACCACAACTGTCATGAACCTAGCTGGAGCACGGGACACGCAGACTTGCGAGAGCCGGAACCTGATGGTCCAGCCCTGTTCTTCCGGGTCTCGCCAGTTCTCTGCCTTTGACAGGGAGCAGTCTCATCACTTTTCTCTCTGTCTGTTAGCAGAAAAGATTTGAGTTTTTCTTCTCTGGCAGGTTTCTGCCTTAGACAAGTTTCTGATTGTGACTTTAGATGGTAAACCTCAGTACCTTTAGAAATGTCTGTGACTTTGTCAGCAATTGTTGAAGTCACAGGCATTTTCGTGTCAGATTACAGTTGTTGCAGATACCTAGGAACGTGTGCATTCACCGTGGCCTGGGGTTGTGGTGATTTGTGGAGCCACCCCAGTTCTTGTCACTTGCTGTGCTGCAGTGCACACTGTGTTTTTCATATTTTGATAACTGTGTTCCGTTCTCACGCCTACTTTTGTAATCTTGTATAATTCAAGATTTGAATACATTCTCCTGCCCTGGGTGTCTGTGGGCTTCATCAGACTGCCATAGGGTCCCTGACACTGAAAAGATTAAGACGCCTTGGCTCATAATGGGCCTGAGTGGGCTGCCTGTGTTTGCTTGGGAGCCCCTCCACTGTGCTGGGCCCCCAGGGACAGCAGAGTCATGCCTGGCCGGTGCTCAATGCCAAGCCTGTACCTAGAGAAGCCCTGACAAGCTGTTGCCTGGTGCTGATGCAGTCCCTCCCCGGGCCGGGCATAGAGTACCGCTTGTCCGCCTACCCGCCCGCCCACTGGGGCTCCCCAGTGCTCGGCTCACAGTCCTCGCCTGCCCCTCACAGGTCATTGGGACTCTGGAGGAGGTCCACATGCCGCAGAATGGGATCAATCACCCTGGTGTCATGGCGCTGGCCCAGGCTTTCGCCATCAACCCCCTGCTGCGAGTCATCAACCTCAACGACAACACCTTCACCGAGAAGGGGGCTGTGGCCATGGCCGAGGTGAGGCAGTGCCTGGTATGCGGGGGTGGCTGGTACCTGTGCGGGTCTCAGGCGTCAGAGGCAGGTGGCTGCTTGGCTTTTCTTACCTGGCATCACCCATGGGCCTGGCAGCTTGACTGTGTCATGATCGGGGTTGTCCGTCACAGGGTGGCCTGTGCCCTTTTGGGCAGCTCTCAGTACTGGCACTGCCTCCCCCTGAGCTTGGGTCAGTCTCCTGTGGCCCAAGCTGTTGACGCTGGTTTTGTTCTCGGGCTGCAGAGGTACCAGGCTGCCTCAGCCTCATTGGTGTGTCTCCTTCATTCTCCCCACAGCTGTTTATTGAGGCCTTGGTGCCCAGCCCTGTGCCACCTATAGGCCACATAGATCAGAGTCCCTGCCTTTAAGAAGACCTAACTGAAGGAGGACGGATGAGGCTAGAACTCCAAGGGGGGGCTCTGAACGCAGTGGCTGGGGGGCAGGGCCTGTAGCACAACAGGGTGTTAGCAGAGAGGTGTGTGCAGCGTGGGGCACACACAGGGTGGGATTCTAGTCTGACTTAGGGCAGGCCTCCTGGGAGAGGCCACGCTGGGCTGACTCATGTAGGACAAGTGGCTGTTCTCAGGATAGAGGATAGGGAATGTTCCGGGCAAGAGGTCAGTAGTCTGTGGGAAGGCCCAGGGATCCCACTCAGTGGCTCCTGGGGTGAAATGACCAGGGTTCAAAGTATGTCTGAGATAAAAAGAGAGAGGCAGGCCTTGCTGCCTCCTTGAGGCTTTGTCCTTGAGTAATAGGGGCTGTGAGGGTTTGAGCAGGGAGTGACGTGGTCACATGTACCTCAGGAAGAGGGTGCTGGCTGTAGCAGGGCTGTTGGCTGGAGGCTGGGAGGCCAATGAGGAATTGGCAAGCAGGGCTGAAGAGCCAAGGAGCCAGATGCAGGGGAGGATAGCGCGTGGGGACGGGTGTGGGGACATCGTTGGGCCTCCCGGGGCTTGCAGTGGGGCTGGGTGAGGCCTGAGCCAGATGCAGGGGAGGACGGGGCATAGGGACTGGTGTGGGGATGTCACTGGGGCCCCCCGGGGCTTGCAGTGGGGCTGGGTAAGGCCTCCCCTCACCCTCGCTTCCTCACTGCAGACCCTGAAGACTTTGCGACAGGTGGAGGTGATCAACTTCGGGGACTGCCTGGTCCGCTCCAAGGGTGCTATTGCCATTGCCGACGCGGTCCGTGGGGGACTGCCCAAGCTGAAGGTACCTACCCTGCCGCCTTCTGTCTGGCTCTAAGCTTCCCCCACACCTATAAGGGCAGGTGGGCCTGGGTCTTCCACCTCCTGGCTCTGGTTTTGTGCAAGTCCCTTCATGTCTCTGAGCCACTGTTTCTTCCTTTGTGAAATGGGCAGAGGGCAGTGATGTGCAGTGTTACAGTGTGGTCTCCGTGTATTGAGGAGTCCTTGAGTGATGCATGCATGTGGAGCCCTGGTTGCACAGTGGTTAAGTGCTTGGCTGCTAACCAAAAGGTCCATGGTTCAAACCCAACAGGTGCTCCGTGGGAGAAGGATGTGGTCTTCTGCTTCCGTAAAGATGGCAGCCTTGGAAACCCTGTGGGGGCAGTTCCACTCTGTCCTATAGGGTCTCTGTGAGTCAGAATTGACTTTACAGCAGTGGCTTTGGGTGGTGCGTAAGTTAACAAGCTCAGCTGCCAACCACAAGGTTAGCAGTTTGAGTCTACCTAGAGGCACCACCCAAGGCAGGCCTGGTGGCCTAGTACAGAAAAAACGGCACACGGTTGTGTTCTGACCCATATGGGGGCACCGTGAGTCTGAACCACCTTCCTGGCAACTGGGCTTTTAAACTTTTCTGGTCCCTGGACATTACTGGGTAACCGTTCTTACTGTGGGTCTTATTGTTCCTGCCCCTTTGCCCGGGTGGAGGACAGAGCCTGCCCTGTCCTCACCTGTGAACCTGACTCAGGGGTGACAGCCATCTCCTGGCCCAGCTTATTGGCTGCCTCTAGCTCTTCGTCTTTGTCTTTAGGAGCTGAACTTGTCGTTCTGTGAAATCAAGAGAGACGCTGCTCTGGCTGTTGCCGAGGCCGTGGGGGACAAGGCCAAGCTGGAGAAGCTGGACCTCAACGGTAGTCGTGGGGGTGGCCTGGTGCAGGCCTTGGCAGTGGTGGGGGGCACTGGTCCATCCCTGTCTGGCCCCAGGCCCCGTCCTGACCTCTGTGCCCTCCCGTGAGCAGGCAACGCTCTGGGAGAAGAAGGCTGTGAGCAGCTTCAGGAGGTTCTGGACGGCTTCAGCATGGCCAAGGTGCTGGCATCCCTCAGGTAGGTGGTCAGGCCACGCCTTCATTCGATTCTTCTCTTGAGCCCTGCTCTGTGCCAGGCGGTAGGGGGTGAGGATGCTGTTTAGGTTTGTGCCCTCACAGAACTGTACGCTGGGGGAAGTCAGGGAGGGGCTCAAGACCGTGACGGGGGATTTAGTTACCATACTTTCAGCCGGGGAACAGTGAGGGCTGAGGGTGGTCGCACTAGCAGGGGGCAAGTCAGGGAGGCCTTGGCAGGGAGGGGGCGTGGTCTGATCTGGAGCACCTGAGGGCCGGCAGTACAGGAGACAGAAGTGGGACCAGAGGACCGTGGTGGTGGGTGTGAGGTGGGCACGTGCAAGGGGTCTGGGCTCAGGCTGGACTTTGGAATCAGCCTGACTCGGCATCATCAGTCTCGCTGATGGGAACGATCTGGTGCAAAGCAACAGAGGAGTGCGAGGGTCCCTGGGGGTGTGGAGCCCACGTCGGGGGAGCTGCTTCCTCCAGACGGAGGTGGTTCAGCCTCTCTCCTGAAGGCCCTCTAATCGCCATGTTGGCTTCATTCACTTCTCGGACAGTTGTGTCTCCTCCGTGCGGGCCTTGAGCTGCTGCTGGGAACCGTGGACTCACGAGGAAGGGCATGGCCTTCCGGGGGCAGGGACGTGCCACTGCCCGTCTCCCGACCATAACTCCCCGTCCAGCCCCTGTGCCCCAGCTGTTGCTTTTTTCTCTTTCCCCTGAGGACTGGGGCCTCCCTTGGGACAGAGACACAATGATTCTTTGGTGTCTCCAACCTGGGGTTCTCTGAGTGACAGAAAACGAAGTGCTCCCCACCTCATCCTGGGAGCCGAGCACCCCTGCCAGGCCCCCTGCTATCTGGCTGGGTCCTTTGCGCTCATGGGGTTAGGCCTCTGAGCACTGTGGGCCACTGGGCAGGGAGGGTCTGCTTCAGCCAACTCCCCTTTGCAGCGATGATGAAGGTGAGGATGAGGAGGACGAGGAAGAGGAAGGAGAAGAGGAAGAGGAGGAGGAGGAGGAAGAAGAAGAGGACGAGGAGGAAGAGACACAGCAGCAGGGACAAGAAGAGGAGTCAACCACGCCCTCGCGGAAAATTCTGGACCCTACCACTGGGGTGAGTTCCTCATTGCTGCTAGGATCAGAGCCCTGGTGCCCTGAATGGGAAACCCTGAGACCTGCTGGTGAGGTGGGAGTGTGGAATGCACACCATGAGGGCAGTGGTCTCAGAGGCTGATCATTTCCACATTCAGTGAGTGTGGACGTTGGTGGTTCAAACCCACCAGCCACTCCTTGGAAGGAAGGTCGGGCAGTCTACTGCTGTAGTCCTATCATCTCACAAACCCAATGAGGAGTTGCTGTGAGTCGGATCCGACTTGACGGCAGTGAATTTGGTTTGGTTTGGTTTTGTGAATGAGACGGGGGTGTGCACGTCAGCCGGTCCATGGGAGGAAGATGTGCCGTCTGCTTCCACAGAGATGGTGGCCTTCAGAACCCCGTGGGGCAGTTCTGTGCTGTCCCAGAGAGTGGCTGTGAGTCAGAATCGAGTGGATGGCACTGGGTTGGGTTTTAGGAGTAAAAAGGAGCTCTCGTGGTGCAGTGGTTAAAGTGCTCGGCTATAAATGAAAAGGTGATGGTTTGAACCCACCAGCCACTCCTTAGGAGAAAAGACCTGGTAGTCTTGCTTCTGTAAAGATGACAACCTTGGAAACCCTGTAGGGTGGTTCTGCCCTGCCCTACAGAGCACTGTGAGTCGGAATCGACTCGACAGCACAACAGCAGTACGAATAAAAAATAACAGCAACCCCACGTACTTACACCTGACCTGTATTTACGTTCACCCGGAAACAGGTCTGTTGGCAAATTCATAAAACTTATGAATTATAACATAATGATAACAGTGTCACGTATCCTCTGAGCTGTGAAACATACAGAAGTATTTCCAAGAGAATAAGGGTAAAAAAACCTTAAATGAGAAATTCTGGTCTGTTTTTCCCACCTACCAGGGATTTACCTTGTCCTCTTCTGGGACAGTCCCTGATTTGGAGGACAGTGGTGGGGCCAGTGATCCAGCTGGGCACTGGGGTCCCTGCCTGGCCAGGGGCTGGTGTGCCAGGCTGCCACGCCCCCGTTCACACGCCCCTGTTCCCTCACAGGCCCCCTGGTAGAGCTCCTGGAGGGCTGTGGGTTGACTGAGGACCGCCTGCCCTCGTGTGGCATTTGGCTGCTTTCCCAGTTTATGGAAGCAGTGGAGCCAACGGCCGGGCGTTCGTTAAGGTTGCTCTGGGCACCGCAGGCGCTGACTGGAAGCACTTCTCCAGACTAGAATCGGGGGCCAGGGACCCCTTGAGCCCTTTGTGCCTTAGGTCAGTTCTAGGCCCTCACGTGTCCTGGTGAGGAGCCCCTTGGCAGGGCCGGCTCTTTGAGTCCTAGGGAGGTGACTTGGCCTCCGCCCCACAGGCTCCTGGACCGGACCCAGCCCCGGCCAGCATCTGTGCCCTCCTGGGGAATGGGAGGAAGAATTCTGGACTATGCACCTTGCCTGGCTAGTGAGGTGTGGGTGTTCGGGGGGTGGAGGCGGGATGAGCCGGGAGGTACTAGGGTTCGGCTCTCAGCACAGCCCCCAATGCCGCCTGTCTCTTAGGAACCAGCCCCTGTGCTGTGCTCCCCACCGCCCACAGACGTCTCCACCTTCCTGGCTTTCCCCTCTCCAGAGAAGCTTTTACGCCTGGGCCCCAAGAGTTCCATACTGATAGCGCAGCAGGTAACAGCCCTCCTGAGCCCAGCCTGCCAGTGGTGATGCGAGGGAAAGGGACAGCAGAGCACGGGATGGGGAGAGGGGCTGAGGGGCCGGGCCCTGACTCCTTTTTACAGTAAGAACACCTGAGTGAGTGTGACCAGTCAGACCCCCAGCTGTCGTGGGTGACTGTACCCCACCCAATGAGAGGGCCTTGCCCACCCAGAGCCCACGGGTGGCCAGGGCTCTTCCCGCCAGCAGTAGAGCCCAGAATGTTTCCACTGCCCCTGTCTCCTCAGACTGACACATCTGATCCAGAGAAGGTGGTCTCTGCCTTCCTCAAGGTGTCGTCTGTGTTCAAGGATGAAGCCACAGTAAGGACGGCTGTGCAGGACGCAGTAGGTAATGTGGGCAGGCAGGACCGGGGGTCTCGGCTTTTCCCCCAGCGCCAGGGCTTGTGCACCCTGGGAGGGTGTTTGCCAGGCACTGCGGCCCTCTGCTCTAGCACTGTCAGCCTCCCCACCCCTCCCCCGGTCTCGCTGGTTCTCGTCATGGCACTGCAATGGCGCCAGCTGGGTGCTCTCCACTGTCTGCCAGATGGGAAAACCAACGTCCAGAGAGGCTACAGGCTTTCCCCGAATCACACAGCTGTGTCCACACAGACCACAGGCCTTTCTTGCCATGTGGTGTGGGGGAGGGGTGCCAGGTAGAGGCCTGGGCTGCGAGGCACACTCTCTTCTTCCTGGGAGACCCCAGGAAGGCCCCACAGACACAGTCCTGAATCCGGGTGCCAGAGTCTCTTGGGGAGGGGGTGGAGAACTGAGCCTTAGTTCCCACCTTGAGTCCCTGCACACGTGGTCCCCTCGGTGGGAGGTGCCCTGCATGGAGGACACCTGCTCTCCCGTAGTCTTTCCCCGGCCTCCCTGGACCTTAGGTCCACCACCTGTCACGTCCCTCACATCCTGCTCTGTCAGTTACCTCTGTCACAGCACCTCTTGCCTTCCACCTTGTTGACTTAGGTTGGCTAAGTCTTGAAGGGCAGGCCAGATCTGGCTAGGCAGAGAGGAGAGGAGGGGCGGGCACATGGGAAGAACTGAAACAGGTGGAAGTGTGCATGGTTATTCTGGTTCAGAGCGCTGGGCGGCGTCAAGGTGGGGCAGAGGCTCTGGGAATTGAGGCTAGATAAGGCATCGTGGCGCCAGATTGGAGTCTGCAGGTCCACAACCTGGGATCCCAGCTCCCTGGCCATTTGTGGAATAAGTTGCCTAAATTCTGTTTCCTTGAACAGCCTAAGACAGAAGCAGGTGCCAGGCCCTCAGCTGCCACCCCTTTGACCCCTTGACTACTAACGTGTCTGAAAGCTCCCCCAGTGGGCTCTGCCTCACCTAATCTTCGTCCTAGCTGTGTCAGGTGGGCACCGTGAGTGTGTCACCTAGCCTTGTTTGTGTGAGGCCAGGACAGAGAAAGGCCAGGGATTGACTGAACCTTTCCCTGGTCCCAGCTGCCCCCTCGGTTGTGGGACCCGTGTCCCCATCTCACCTCCCTCTGGTCACCTCTTGCAGACGCCTTGATGAAGAAAGCTTTCGGCTCGTCCTCCTTCAACTCGAACGTCTTCGTCACCAGGCTTCTCATCCATATGGGTCTTCTCAAGGTGAAGCTGGAAGGAGGGGGCCCGAGAGGGAGCAAGTGAGGGGGCTCCATCCTAGCCTCGCCCACCCCACCCAAACCTCAGGCCCTTCGGGGGCCTGTCACCCACGATGCCCCTGTGGTGCACTGGCTCAGCGTGACCTCAGCCAAGGGTCTGGGTGCTGGAGACCCAGGACTCCCGGGTCACTGTAAAGCTCCCCCTTAAAGCCTACTGCTTTGTTCTCACAGAGTGAAGACAAGATCAAGGCCATTGCCAACCTGTATGGCCCCCTGATGGCTCTGAACCACATGGTACAGCAAGACTACTTCCCCAAGGCCCTTGCTCCTCTCCTGCTGGCGTTCGTGACCAAGTGAGTGTGCCCACGTCAGCACCACCAGGCAGGCCCGCGTGCTCGGGCGCTTGGCTGCCCAGTCAGGTGGAGCCTGTTCAGGGGCCTCCTGGGCTCATGGTGCCCGTGCTGAGTCTCCATACCCTGTGAGCTCTCCTCTCCTCGCCCAGCTGTGGTCATGGCGCTCAGGGACTGTGTCTTTCCCTGCAGGGGACAGGATCTAGGTGTTGGGCTCAGTGTGGTCTCTAGGAACAGTTCTGTGTCCCTCCCCACAGCACCAAGGCTGCCAGGGCCTGGCCACGCCCCACTCTGCAGCCACAGTCTTACCCCTGGGGTGGCCCTTCGCTATGGAACTGCCAAGATGCCCAGAGATGTGGAAGGCTTGGCCTTGCCTGGAGGGGCCTGGGGTATTGGCGGGCACCGGCCACAGTTGAATAGTGAAGTCTGTAGACCCTGGGGCTGCACCAGGGGATCGGTCAGGAGTTTGTCCCTGTGCCCTCCCTGAGGCCCGGTATGACCCACCCCCCCCCCGCCAGCAAAAACCTCAGGCCTCAGACTCCCCATTTGCCCAACGAAAGCGTTGAATGGGATTGACCCACACTGCCCCTTGCTTGGGAAGACATCATGTCGGGGCCCAGGCCACATGCCCAGTGCCAGCTGGTGGCAGTCAGCATACGGCTTGGAGCCACGTGGGCAGGCGTCTGTGTCGGGGCTGCGGGGAGGGCTGTGAGCAGAAGCTGAGACCAACAGTGTGCAGTCATCCGCTGGCCTCCTGACCCAGGCGGACACCGAGGCCTCGCCCATGCTGCCTGGACTGTCCCAGTGGTGGCCAAGCCCCTCCCCACCACCTGCTGACAACACCTGGCTCCCTGTCACCTTCCTCCAGTTGGACTCCCCCCTGCATCCTTGTCATTCCCTGCATTGCTCTCAGCAGGGCAGGGTCAGTGAGGAGAAGCCCCCATCCTTGCTGCTCTTGTGCGCTGCCTTCTCCTAGCAAGTTGCCCACCTACAGCCCAGGCCTTGCTCTGTGCCCATTTGAAAACAGAAAGGGACAGCTCCTCCCATGCCTCAGATGACCGAGTATGTGCTGACATGCATAGCTGCCCTGCCCCCAGGCCCTAGCCAGTCGTCTGGGACCCCAAGTGGCCTGGACCAGGCAGGATACATTGATGCCCTCGGTGCTGGTCTTGGCCCCACCCCACGCTCGCCAGGTGTCTTCTCTGCACGCAGGCTGCTGATCTCCGGTGAGGGCCTTGGTGGAGCACCAGGGGCCTCTGAGGTTCCCCGATTGTGTTTGCCAGAGGCTCCTTTGAGAGGCTGGCTGTGGAAAGAGGACCCAGGTTCCCACCTGGACAGACCTGCATCTTGGCCTGAGCTCCTGGCCGTGCAGCCTAGTGTGCATCCCCACCTCTCGGCCGAGGACTAACATGCCCCTTGCAGTCACTGTGTGATTAGAAAATTGAGCCGGGCATGGCTCGAGCCTTAAAAACAGGCCCCACACCTTGCAAACAGGCCCCACACTCCACTTCACAGTTGGGACCCAGGCCCGCTGGAGCCTGCGCTCTTGGGCTCTAGTGCCTGTCCAGCTGCTGACGCTTCTCTGCCCACAGGCCCAATGGCGCCCTGGAAGCCTGCTCCTTTGCCCGTCACAACCTGCTGCAGACGCTGTACAAGGTCTAGACATGAAGCTGGCCTCTCCTGGCTCTCAGCTGGACAGCAGCTTGGGGAAGGGGCTTGGACGAACTGAGCAACAGCCCGGCCCCTTCCTCAGAGAGGACTCTGGTCTTTGTCGCATGTGTCCTGTTGTCCCCGAGTGTGTGCTGTGTAGGTGCATGGGCGGTGTGTGCTTCCCGTCAGGTGGGGGTTTTGAATGTGTCCCTGCCGGACTGGCCTGGTCCCGGCTTGGGAAGCTGCCCCCAGAAGCAAGGGCTGTGAGCTTCTCTGCCATTAAACCCACCGCCACGTGAGGGCGCTCTGCTCGTCTGTGCCTCGGGGTCGAGGCCCTGGTGGCTGTCCCTGCCCAGCTTGCCTTCCCTTCCTTGTGGGTTGTCCCAACCCCGGGAATTGTTGCCCGTGTGCTGTCCCCCCTGTGCTATGGTGGGGCTGTCCTGCCCGGCTTGGGCTGCTCACTTGGTGTCTGACTCTACTTCCTGTCACCGAGCCCTGGTCCTGCAGCAACCGCCATCCTCACCATCCGTCCCTGCTATGCAGGTGGCATGACCTGAGGACAGAGACTGCCAGGTAGGGCATGGAAGTCGCCAGCAGAGGGCAAGCCCTGGCCCCATACCACGCGGACAGCAAGAGAGACTGGGGCAGAGCCCAGACCATCCGGGGTGGGAGCCGCCTGGCACTGCACTGGCTCCTGGCCCGGTGGGCTTCACCGACTGCCGAGAAGTGTGATGGACCTGGGGCCAGCTGGAGGGGCACCTTGATGGGCCCAGTCCTGCTGTCCAGCCTAAGAGGGCAGAGCTCCTGGTGCCTGAGCCGTGTCTTGGGCAGCTCCCACAAGTCTCCTGGGCAGGGCAGGGGTGGGGTGGAGCTGGACTGAGCAGCAGACGCCCTGGGGCCCTGCTTCCGGCCCTGGCCCCTGTGCTTCCCCCTCGTGCTCCTGTGTCTGGGCTGGGCCCGGGGCTGAAATAAAGTTGTGTGGCCGCAGTGGAGACTGGGAGACCTCTCTCACCCTCAGCAGGGTATCCTTGGCATGGGCACACTGGCCACACAGTCTCTGAAGGGCAGACCATCTTGCAGGAGAGGGCTTGGGCAGCCCAAAAGCTTCTCCCTGGGCATGCCAACTCCCCTTCGCTGGGAGAGTGGTGCCTGGGAGGGGCAGTGGCTCCCTTGACACCCACCTCTTCTCCCCACTTTGGCCTGTAGCTTCTCTGACCGCTGCGTTGTGCCTTGTGGTCTAGGTCTAGCTTAGCTGGTCACTGCCTGGATTTTGCCACAGGCCCTGCCAGCTGCATCAGGAGCCCCTGGGCCTGGCTTCCCAGGGCAGGGCCTGGCTGTGAAACCACCGCAGGATATGTGGCCTAGGCTGGGGGCTTCTCCCTACCTTTATCACCTGTGTGGGGACAGCACACACACTCTGAGCCACTTCTCCCTCAGGAAAGAGGATCCTTCCAAGGTTTCTTAGGGGGCAGCGCCCAGGCTGCTGCTTGGGCCCATCTGAGCCACGAAGCACTTTCCTGACTGGGTGGGGGACACAGGAGGAGGCAGATGGAGGGCTGACCATGGGCTGAGCTGGGCTTGCAGACCCTGCCCCGGGGAGCTGCTGGTCTGGCGCTGGAGACAGCAGTGTGGCCACGGAGACGGGACTTCCCTCAGGACATCTGGCAGATGGAGGAACAGGCACCCAGTGGAGCAGGAGCCTGCCCGAGGTCCTCTGGTCTGGCCGCTGCTTCCTCCGCTATAAGGCACAACAAGCTTCAGCTCAGAGTGCCAAGACCTCAGACCCCATTGCTGCTCAGTTGAATCACTCATAACAATCCGCTAGGACAGAGTGGAACTGCCCCATGAGGTTCCCAGGGCTGCCAGTCTTCCCAGAAGCAAAGCCCAAACCAAACCCACTGCTGTCAAGTCGAATTCCACTCAGTGCCCCTTGAGGACAGAGTAGAACTGCCCCCACAAGTTTCTAAGGGAGCTCTGGTGACGCAGTGCCCAAGGCATTTGACTGCTAACCAGAAGGCTCATGGCTCAAATCCACCAGCCACTCCGCGGAAGAAAGAATGAGCAATCAACTTCCATAGAGATACCACCTCGGAAACCCAAGGTGTCGTCAGGTAATCGACTCGATGGCAGTGAGTTTTTCTGGTTTAACTTTTGTGGAAGCTGAGCTGCCTCATCTTCCACCGAACAGCTGCTGGATTCAAGCCGCCCACCCTTTGATGATCGGCCACGTGCTTCACCACCGTGCCACCAGGGCTCCTTCAGAAACCAACAACTTCATTTAACCTCACAGTGAATCCTACAGAGCCTGGCTCAACCCTCACACTGTTGGTCTCAGGAGTGGAGGCTTCTGACTGCCTGGCAACACCTGAGACCTTCAGACAAGCCCAAGGCTGTGGCTCCTGACCAGTCTCCAGGGGCAGGAAGGCTTAGGGGCCTGTGAACTTGCTGCTCACGCAGAAAGCTATGTTGTTGTTAGGTGCTGTCAAGTCAGTTCCCACTCATAGTGACTGTACAGCAGAAGGAAATGCCGCCTGGTCCTGCGCTGGCCTCACAATCCTTGCCATGCCCGAGCCCGTCGTTGCCAGCACCGTGTCTGTCCATCTCGAGAGGCCTTCCCCTTCGCTGACCCTCCACTTTACCAAGCATGACATCTTTCTCCAGGGAACGGTCCCTTCTGACAACATGACCAAAGTAGGTAAGACAAAGACCGGCCATTCTCGCTGCCAAGGAGCATTCCAGCTGCATTTCTTCAGGGTAGATTTGTTTGTTCTTCTGGCAGTCCATGACATTTTCAGTATTGTCAACACCCCAACTCAAAAGCATCAACTTTTCTTCCGTCTTCCTTAAATCAACACTGTCCAGTTTTCATATGCATGTGAGGCGATCGAAATCACCATGGCTTGGGTTAGGCACACCTTACTTCAAAGTGACACCTTTGCTCTTCAGCACTTTTTTAAGAGGTCTCCTGCAGCAGATTTGTCCAGTGCAATACGACATCTGTTGTCTTAAGTGCTGCTTCCATGGGTGTTGATTGTGGAACTGAGCAATATGAAATCTTTTGTCCACTTCAATCTTTCCTCCATTTATGGTGATGCTGCTCATTGGTCCAGTTGTGAGGAGCCTTAGAATTCACCCGACTCAAGAGCTTACATGACTCCCTAGGGCTCTGAATGCTCCCCAAGAACCGTGTGGCCATGCTAAGACTGTATGTGCTTCAGCTCCTGGGGACCATGATGCTAGACAGAAGATCTTGAATCCTAGGCTCCAAACGGGGCTGCACCCACTAAGAGTTCAACCCACAGACTCCAAGGCCTAGAACACAGCGGTGCCATTCCTAGTCACATACCTTAGACTAGACAGACACCGGCACCCTGGTCAGGGACACTCCTAGCAGACCTGTTGATGACAGCAAGAGCCTAGAAACAGCCCACAGGCCAAACAGGGAAAATGGGTAAGTGGTGGCCATGATGTGACACAACAGTGACACAACTGCAAAGGCCAGACGAATGGCCACCCAGGACCAGAGGCCTCCCTGAGACACTCTTGGCACCTTGAACCAAAGCTGTCCCTGAGATCACCTTTCAGCAGAACAGGAGAATGACACAAGCCAGATTAGTGCTCAACTGCAGAAAACATCGGTCTGGGTCCAAAGGGTCAACACTGAACTCAAAGCGAAGATGAGAAGATGCAGGGCAGGAAATGAGAGTCCTGGAACCACCAGAGCACAAGGGTGGTGACACATTGTGAAAAATGTAACTCACGTCATCAGTTTGTGTGGAGGTTGTCAAGTGGGACCCTAACTTACTGTGTCAACTTTCACCAGAAACACAATACAACAGTTTAAAAAAAGAAAATGTATTGACCACAGCTACATGCTTAACACGGTGAGTGAAGAAAACCTGAGCCTGACACCTTGGTTCAAAACCAAACTGAAAAACATCAGTTTAGCAGGACATGGATAGGCGATAATGCTATCACCGGTAAAAAGAACGCTGAACCCAGAATCCAGGATGGAGTTAGCCTTAGTGTGACAAGGGACAGCACAGGACTTGAGGACTGTGCCAGGACCAGTTTTGAGGGTGTCGTGAGCCAAGCTTCGGAGCCATCCAAATCTGTGCACCTGAGATCCATTTGAATCTTAAGTTCGAAAAGAGGGAGTAAAACAGAGCATTCTGGGGCACCTGAAGCACAAATCAAAATGGGAATCTGCCTGTTTCAAAATGAGAGGTGAGAACCATGTCCCCAAACCCATGAAAGTTGAAAGACAAAATGACAGACTAGGAAAAGACACTGCAACATGTATACTATAAAACCAAGGAGGAGTGCTGAGAACAGGCATCCACATGAAAACAGGAAAAGATCTGAACAGGCAAGTCACAGAAGAAGGAATGTGAACAACTAAAGCACATGCAAAAAGGACATTCAACCTTCCTGGGAATTAAGGAAATGCAAGAGAAAGTGATCCCAAGATACCACTTCAAACCAGATGGGCAACAATCATTAAAAGACTAACACCAGGGAAGAGATGATCCTGTCGCATGTTTTAGACATTGCTGGAGGGAGTGTCAAACTAATACTTTGGAAAGCAAGTTGGCAAATCCTAAAAAAAAAAAAGTTGACAATGCATATAATGTGTGTTCCCAAATTCCATTTCTAACATCTACTTGAGAGAAGCAGTTGCACGTGTGCACACAGAGACAATGCTGCTATGAACATGCTCATTGAAATGTAGTGTGGACGTGTGTTCGTTTCTCCACGGTAAATAGCTAGCAGCAGAACTGCTGGGCAGTGCAGCAGAATTGCTGGGCAGTGGACTAAGTGTCTTGGGTAATTCTATAAGAAATTGCCCACAACAGCATTATTCAACTTTTCCCAAAAGTTGAACAGACAATGAAAAAAACAAATTATAGGATAGTATCATGGACTATTTAGCTAGAAAAGAATGAAGTACTGATCCATGCTACACATGGGGATGGACCTTGAAACCATGACTAAGTGACAGAAACCAGTGACAAAAGACCACATTTCTATGAAATGTCTTTTTTTTATTTTTTTTATGTGCCCAGGAAGATAAGTACTTGGATATTCTTTGCAACACTGTTTATAATAAAATATTGGAAGCAACAGAAATATGAAGATTAATGAATAGATTTGATACATTGATACAGTGGAATACTATACACCACAGTCAGAATGAACAACTGACATGAACCAATTTAGATCAATCTCCATAATCTGATGTTGAGTGAAAAAAGCAGTCCTGCAGAGTATGTATACGGTATCAAACCATGTGTGAAAATGTATGTTCTCAGTTGCCGTTGAGTCAGATCTAAGCCATGGCAACCTTGTATATAACAACAATAAGGTTGCCCAGTCCTGCTCAGTCTCCATGACCTCCTATAACTCACGAGGGGGAGAGAGAATCACCGTCTGCGTCAGCCCAGAGCTGATTCCTATGAGGCAGGGGTCAGACATGTCTCCACCCTCCCAACTTTTTACCAATTCTGATGCCAACCATCCCTCCCATTCTGCTGGGTTCGACAGTTCAATGCAATGGCCACACAGAAGTCACAGACCATGCTCACAGAGAGTTTATTAGGTGAGTAACAGTTACAGTTCAGGCTCAGGGATACTTAGGATAGTGTTCTGTGGCCAGGACAGCCTCACCTCAGCTATGCCCATAGGCAGGTCTCTCTCTGGCCCCTGCTCCTTGCTCTGGCCTCTGCACCACTTGGACAAGTGTTACAAAGCTCTTTCAGCTCCACTGATAAGTGCCCAGTGGCACCCCACTCTGCCAGTAAGCCTTGGCCCAAAGGTACTCAGCTCTAGCTCTGTGGGTTTGCAAACCTTGCTCCACCCAGTGCCTGGAGGCACCCTACTCGGTCAGCAAGCCTCCTTCCCAAAGGTGCTCAAGCCTTCCCGCTCAGTGGGCCAGGAAGCCCACCACACCATCTGCTGCTGGTCTCCCTGTTCTGTTGCCGCTGCTTCTGGGCCACTGTTTCTCGCCGTCCCCCACGTTCCACCTTCCTCTGTCTCCTTGGCTGAGGAGGCTCCCAACGCAGGGATTCTGGGTCCAAAAGACATGCTTCAGTCCCAGCTCCTCTTTCTCGGTGGTCGTGAAGTCCTCCACTCTCGCTTCTCCTTTCATCTCTTGTAAGATAACAGGTGTGACTCAAGCAAGGCGTTAAGGCAGTGAAGGGTGATGACTGGGGTAAGGTGGTGACATGAGTCACACTCCCTAGTAAGATGGTGGCTCAAGATAAATCCCACCCGAATTCTGCCTCATTAATATAACAGACATCTCACTCCCCAGTGGGACCATAACCAAGGCTGTAAACCCTTACGGAGGCAGATTGCCTCATCTTTCTTCCTCGGAGCAGGTGGTGGGTTCGAACCACCAACCTTTTGGTTACCAGCCAAGTGCCTTAACCACTACACTACCAGAGCTCCTGTGAACAGCATCTCACACAATGGAGGATAATCACAGTAGATCATAAAACAGAGGACAGCCATAAATGCTGGGAATCATGGCTTAGCCAAGTTGACACATAACGCCAGCCTTCACAGCTTCCATATGCCTTAGTTGTATGGTCCCCCCAAACACCGTGTGGGAGTCACAAATACTGTGGCTAGAAGGACCATATTAAGTAATTTACTACACACACTGAGAGGAAGGGGTTAACTGTTCTTGAGTACCTGCTCTGTGCCAGGTGTCCACTGTCATCTATCTAGTTACTCTCATCAGCACTAGTGGTAGAAAGTGTTAAGTTCTCAGCTGCTCACCAAAAGGTCGCTGGTTCGAACCACCCAGTGACTCCTCAGGAGAAAAGACCTGGCAACCGGCTCCTGTAAAGATTAGTGTAAAAACTTCTATGGGGCAGGGCTACTCAGTCACACGGAGCGTCGGAGTGAAAACAACTCGAAGGCACCTAACAACAACAGGATGCTGGGGCTGGGTGACAGGCCGCCTCTGTCTAGGGTCACACAGCCTGGGAGGAAGCCCAGGTTGGCTGACCACAGGCTGGCTCCTGGAGCTGCTCTCTGCCGGCCGGCCAGGACCTCAGGCCTGTGCCACCTTCCTGAGCTGGCGCCGGGCAGGAGGCCTGGAACTCCAGCCACTGCTCCCTCCCCCTCCCTCACCTCAGCCCCAGGAAGCCCCGGCCGCCGTGACTGTGACAATGCCTCCCATTGAGCCCTGTCCCCGCTGCCAGGCCTGTGGGCTGCGGAGGGGGGCTCTGGCGGCCCCCAGACAGGACTGCTGTCGGCCTTTTCCCTGTGCTGCACCTCAGGCCGGGCTGGTAGCACAGCAGCATGGAGAGGTGAGTTTTGGGGCGCTAGGGGTACAAGGGGTGCCGAGAGCAGTCGGGTGGCCAAGGGGAGCTCCTGCACCTCGCTGGGTCTCCAAGAGGCTGGGGGACAGTGGCTCTGGGCCCTGTCTGGGCCTGAGCTTCTCCAAGCTCTTCCCAGGTGGGTTCCTGAGGACAGTGTATTTGAAGCTGGCCACGGGCTCCCATGGACCAATCCTTAGGGGTCCTGTCTGAGAGCTAAGCAGCTGTCTGAGCTCTGGACATTTGTCCCTTCAGGAATCTATCCCCATGGGCCCCCTTCCTGGCTGTCCTGAGCCTTCACCACAGGGTAGGAGAAGGCCCCCAGCCCAGAGCAGGGGCTCCTGGGACTCACACTCAAACACAGATGCTGACAACTGAGCAGGCAGAGACGGAGGACGCTTAAGCGGCGGGGGCCCAGCCCAGGCTCAGGAAAGGCTTCTGAAAAAGAAGCGAGAGCCGGAGTTAGGCGGCAATGAAGAAGTCCAGTTGGGATAACGAGAGTCAGGAATTTTCACCAGGCAGTGAGGAGATGCTGGAGGATTTTTAGTTGGGGGTGTCATGGTCCCATCTGTGTTTTGTAAAGATCCCTTTGGCTAATGGGTAAGTGAAACACAGGGGAGGCCAGGAGAGCCACAGTGGGAGTGGTTCCCCTATAAGAGCAACGGCTGTGGCTGTGAGACAGAGGGATCCGCTGGGGAGATGAATGGGTAGGAAAGTGGGTGGGTAGATGGGGGTGTGGATGGATGGGTAGGTGGATGAATGGCCAGATAGGTGCGTGTGTGGGTGGACGGATGGACAGACGGATGGATGGATAGATGAGAGTGTTTGCGTGGCTGGGTGGATGGATGGATGAGTGGGTGGGTGGATGGATGAGATGGATGGATGGATGAGATGGATGGATGGGTAAACGGGCAGATGGGTGGGTGGATGGATTGGTGGGAGAGTGGTGGATGGACAGATGAATGGGTAGGTGGGTGTGTGGATGGACGGATGGATGGATGGACAGACGGATGGATGGATGGATAGATGAGAGTGTTTGTGTGGCTGGGTGGATGGATGGATGAGTAAGTGGGTGGATGGATGGATGAGTAGGTGGGTGGATGGGTGAATGGACAGATAGGTGTGTGTGTGGATGGACGGATGGACAGACGGATGGATGGATGGATAGATGAGAGTGCGTGGCTGGGTGGATGGATGGATGAGATGGATGGATAGGTGGGTAGATGGATGGCTGGATTAGTGGGCGGGTGGTGATAGATGAATGGGTAGATCGGTGGATGGATTAGCCTAAAGCACAGCCTCCACCCCTTCCCCTCAGCTCCCCTTGTCCCACTCCAGGCCAGCAGGACGGTACTCAGATGAGGGGAGAACATAGAGAAATAAATACAGAGAGGAAACGAGGTCTGAGCCACCCTGGTCACCCTGTCAATGTGGCTCTGACCAGTCATTAAGGCTTGTTCGAGGACCTCAGCCCCCACAACACCTGTTCCACTGAGGCTGGTCTCCTGACTCCAGGCCTAGGTCCTTCTTTCCCACTGCCAGGCTGTCTCCTTGAGGTGGGGACCGTTATGCTCCCTGCCCCCGGGAAGCTGAGGCCACATCTGTCTGGGGATGGCTGCCCACCTGACGCGGGGGGCCCAGGCCTGTCCCTGGACTGGGAGCCACCACAGCGGTGGTCCACGTTCTGAGCCCCAGCAGCATTCCACACTCAGACAATCCTCACTGAACCACTTGGCAGACGGTCATAGGACTCACCGGGTGGCCTTTCCGAGCCTCAGTGTCCTTAAGTGTAAAACAGGGCTAGTCATTGAACTCTTAGGCGTATGTGACGGGCCTTCCCTGCCCAAAGGAGGAAGGCGTCGGAGGAACTCTGGGGACAGGAGCAGCACTGTGGCTGTGGCTCCGTGAGAGGACAGCGTGGGGCCCCATCTCTGTCAACAACCGATCCTCCCTCTGCCTCCTCCCAGGCCCCAGAGCCCCAGCCGCTTCTCCCTGCTGCTCCTGCTTCCACTGCTGCTGCCACCGGGCCCAGCTGGGCACACAGCTGCCCAGCGCTGCCCACTGAGCTGCGTGTGCGACAACTCCAGGCGGCACGTTACCTGCCGGCACCAGAACCTCACCGAGGTGCCGGACACCATCCCCGAGGTCAGCAGGGCAGGGAACGTGGGCCGGGGCCAGCACTGAGGGGGCAGTGGGACGAGCTTGGGCTGGGCACCGGTGGCTGGGAGAGCTTGTCTGGTTAAGTCACCTCTCTGAACCTCAGTGTTCACATCTGGAAAATGGGTAATAATAACCAATGATGAGAGAGAATCTTTTTAAAGACAGATTATATATTTAAAAAGGAGCTCTGGTGGCATAGTGGGTAAGGTATTTGAACGTTAATCAGAAGTTCAGTGGTTTAAACCCACCAGCTGCTCTGCAGGAGAAAGATGAGGCAATCTACTTCCATAAAGATTGACAGCCTTCGAAACCCAGTGGGAGTCGCTAAGAGTCGGAATCGACTTGATGGCATTGGGTGGGTTAATCTGTTTCAAATCTTTTCTGTGTGACTGGAACAAGTAGGGGATCTGTAGACAGATGCATTCATTACAGAATTACAGACCCTGTGGCAGGGAACAGGGTAAGAAATGGTGTCTGTCCCATGGAGTTCATGGGCTGGGAGGGGATAGAGCAGGTAACCAGTGACAGTCCAATGTGCAAAGCACCACAGTGAAGGAGGCCCAGGTAGTAGGGAGGAAGGCTTCCTGGAGGTGGTGGTAGGGAGCTGAGATCAGCAGGATGAAAGAAATGAGCAAAAGGTGAGGTGGGGGAAAAGTGTTACAGGTGAGGGAACAGTGTGCAAAAAAGGCCTGGGATTAGCACAGGGCACAGGTTTGATCCCGGTGGCGCTCAGTCCCCCTCCGCCTTGCCCCTTCCCACCTCCCAGCTGACCCAGCGCCTAGACCTCCAGGGCAACATGCTGAAGGTGATCCCCCCAGGTGCCTTCCAGGCCCTGCCCCACCTGACGCATCTGGACCTGCGGCACTGCCAGGTGGAGCTGGTGGCTGAGGGCGCCTTCCGCGGCTTGGGCCGTCTGCTCCTCCTCAACCTGGCCTCCAACCGCCTGACCGCGCTGCCCCAGGAGGCACTGGATGGGCTGGGCTCGCTGCAGCGACTGGAGCTGGAGGAGAACCTGCTGGAGGAGCTGCGCCCCGGGACGTTCGGGCCCCTGGGTGCTCTGGCCACACTGAACTTGGCCCACAATGCCCTGGTCTACCTGCCGGCCATGGCCTTCCAGGGGCTGCTGCGCGCCCGCTGGCTGCAGCTGTCCCACAACGCGCTCAGCGTGCTGGCCCCCGAGGCTCTGGTCGGTCTGCCCGCGCTACGCCGGCTCAGCCTGCACCACAACGAGCTGCAGGCCCTGCCCGGGCCGACCCTGTCTCAGGCTCGGGGCCTGGTGCGTCTGGAGCTGGGTCACAACCCACTCACCTACGCAGGTGAGGAGGACGCACTGGTGCTGCCCGGCCTGCGGGAGCTGCGTCTGGACCACGGGGCGCTGCAGGCTCTGGGGCCAAGGGCCTTCGCCCACTGCCCACGCCTGCGCACCCTCGACCTCCGCGGGAACCAGTTGGACGTGCTGCCGCCGCTGCAGGGCCTGGGCCAGCTGCATCTGCTGCGGCTGCAGGGGAACCCGCTGTGGTGCGGCTGCCAGGCCCTGCCGCTGTTCGGTTGGCTGGCTCGGGTGCGCGTGCACGTGGAGGGCACGTGCAGGGGACCCCGGAGGCTGCGTGGGGAGGCCCTGGACGCCCTGTGGCCCTCGGCCCCGCGCTGCCTGGGAAATGGCGCGGAGGAAGAGGAGGAGCTGGCGGCTGCCCGGCGCCGCGCCCCCACACGGGCCCCCCAGGAGGATGAGTGGGCGGCCAGGCCCTGCCCGCGCGTCTGCACTTGCGCTTCCGAGTCTGCGCACAGCAGCTGTGAGGGCCGCGGCCTGCATGCTGTGCCCAGCGGCTTCCCCAACAACACCCAGCTCCTGGACCTACGGAGGAACCACTTCCTCTTGGTGCCCCGAGCGGCCTTCCCTGGCCTGGGCCACCTGGTATCCCTGTACCTGCAGCATTGCCACATCACCGAGCTGGAAGCGGGTGCCTTGGCGGGGCTAGGCCGCCTGGTCTACCTCTACCTCTCTGACAACCAGCTCTCAGGCCTCAGCGCAGCTGCCCTTGAAGGGGCCCCCCACCTGGGGTACCTGTACCTGGAGCGCAACCACTTCCTGCAGGTGCCAGGGGCCGCCCTGCGTGCCCTGCCCAGCCTCGTCTCCTTGCATCTGCAGGACAACGCCGTGGAGCGCTTGGCACCGGGGGACCTCGCAGGGGCACAAGTCTTGCGCTGGCTGTACCTGAGTGGGAACCGCATCACCCAGGTGTCCCCGGGGGCGTTGGGTTCAGCCCGGGAGCTGGAGAAGCTGTACCTGGATGGGAACCAGCTTTCAGGGGTGCCCACTGGGGCCTTGGCGGGGCTGCCTGCCCTGGTGGAGCTGCAGCTCTCAGGGAACCCGCTCAGGACCCTGCATGACGGGGCCTTCCGGCCTGTGGCTCGATCCGTGCAGTTCCTCTTTCTGAACAGTAGCAGCCTGGAGCAGGTGGGCAAGGGGTGTCAGGGAGCGGAGGCCACACCCAGGGACATTCCCTTGACAGATTCTTGCTGCCCCCTGGGTGCCAGGCCTGTGCTGGGCTTGGGGACCTTGAGATAAGCCAGACTTGCCCCTACCTTCAGGGAGCTCAGTTGTGCCCGACAGACCCAGTGCCACGTGGCAAGAGGTCTGCCCGGGGAGGGGAGCACTGCTGGGCATGGAGGGGGAGGCCCTTGGGTCCACGGGGCTCCTGTTCTTTGTACAGGGGCTGGATCTGCCAACACGCTTTGCATTATGGGGATAGAGAAGTGTTTCAGCAGAGTGAGCCATGAATTGGGTGGCCGGGTGACTTTGGCATCGTGCCAGTCTGGGTTTTGACCCTAGTGCTGCCCCAGCCTCTCTGGGTGCTTTGGCTAGGAGAGCATTGGGTGGGGTCGGCCTGGCAGGCGCTCCCACCCAGGCTGTGAACCGTGCCTCCCGCAGGTTTCTCCCGGGGCCTTCGCGGGCCTGGGGCCCAGCCTCCGGAGTCTGCACCTGCAGGGGAACCAGCTGCAGGCCCTGCCCGCCCTGCCCACGCTCACACGGCTTGAGCTCTTGGACCTCAGCGGCAATCCCTTCCGCTGCGACTGCCAGCTGCTCCCGCTGCACAGGTGGGTGCCCCCGAGTTGCACCCTCAACCCAGTGGCCAGCTACACCCTCCTGCTCTCAGTCATCCCTCCACCGGCTCCCTGGGGTGCAGGCCTGTCACCTGGCCCAGCAGCTCAGTGTGTGTGGCCGTGGCAGCTGCCCTTCTCTGAGCCTGGACTCTCTCATCTGTAAAATGGGGAAAATAGCTGCCCTGGCCAGAGGAGGAGGGGCAGTGTTCATTGAGCACCTAGTATGGCCGGCATTGTATCTACTTCTCACCCAGAGAGAGGAAAAAGACCTCCAGAGTCAGGCCCACCCAGGCTCAGATCCCAGCTGATTCAGTGACTGGAAGACACTGGGCAAGCCAGCTGACCTCTCTGTGCCCATTTCCTCACCTGTGAGAAGGGGGATGATTACTGAATCGATGTCATGATGGTGGTTACTTGAATTAAGTTGTTAGTTGCCATGGGGTCGGCTCTGACTCATGGTGGCACCATGTAAATGGAATGAAGTATATCACCCGGCCCCACATCATCTCACCACCATGGTGTGTTTGAATCCATTTTTTGTGGCCACTCTGTATTTTGAGGGCTTTCCAACCCAGGGGGCTCATCTGCTAACACTGTCTTGGGCAACGTTCTTGAGATCCATAAGATTTCACTGGCTAATTTTTGGAGACAGATCACCAGGCCTTTCTTCCTAGACTTAGTCTGGAAGCTCCATTGAAACCTGTCCATCACGGGGGACCCTGCTGGTAATACTGGTGTCATAGCCTCCAGCCTCACAGCAACACGTCAAGCAGACAGACGGAGGGTGCAGATGAAGTTAGGGAACATGCATGACTCGATGTGATCGGTGCTCGGTCTGTCGTAAGCACTGTGGAGCTGACTAGCAACGTCACTGTCACTGTTCTCCTCTTGCAGAGACGGGTCAGAAGGCGTCACTCGCTCAGGGTCGTGTGATCGATGAGCAGCGGAGTGGGGATTCTCCCCAGACTCTGCCCTTACCCACTGGCCACAGTACCCCCAGCCAGTCGACACAGTGGGTCCCCGCTCTCTTTTCTCCTCAGGTGGCTAACTGGGCTGAACCTGCGGGTGGGTGCCACCTGCGTGGCCCCTGCCAGTGCCCGTGGCCAGAGGGTGAAGGCTGCGGTGGCCGTCTTTGAAGGCTGCCCAGGCTGGGCTGCCAGGAAGGCCAAGCGGACGCCAGTGGCCCGGTCTGGTGTCAGGAGAGCTCCTGCCAAGGGGAGACGCCGGGCAGTATACAAGGTTGGCAGTGGGGCTCGGGGCCTCGGAGGGTGGGTCTAGCTGCCAAAGCCCCTGGGGTAATGGGTCTGATGTCTCTGGATTCCTATGGTCCCAGAGCCAAGCGATGAGCCTGTTACACCCTTTCATGCCTGTCCCCTCTCCTCGCCTCTTCCACCTCTGGGGTGGGCCTGGGAGGGTTTGTAAGGAAATGATTAGGTGCTGTTTCATCCCCAAGAGTCCTGGTGGTACAATGGTTAAGTGCTGGGTAGCTAACTGAAAGGCTGGCAGTTTGATCTCACCAGCTGTTTGGAGAAAGATGTGGCAGTCAGCTTCCACCAAGATGACAGCCTTGGAAACTCTACGGTGCAGTTCCACTCTGTCCTCTAGGGGCACTGGGAGTTGGAATCGGCTCCACAGCAGTGGGTTTGGTTTGGGCTTTGCTTCCATAAAGTGACAGCCTTGCAAATCCTCTGGAACAGTTCCACTCTGTCCTCTAAGGGGCTGTGACTCAGGATAAATGGATGGCCAGGTGTTTTTGTTTTCATTCCATGAGGTAGTGGCTTTTCTAATTAGCTTCAGCATAGCCAGGTCCTGTGCAAAATCAACCCAACTGTTACTGTATTTCCTGGGTCACTGTTGAGTCAGATGTGCCCCATCCTGACCACAGGGCCATGCTTATGCCAGGGGTCAGGAGAGCTGAAGTGCAGCTGTTAGCTCCACCCCCCATATCTCAGCCACAGGTTGGACCCCTTCTAGGCCTTTCTATCGCCCCAACATACATAGCTTGGGCCCTCAGCTGTAGCAACAAAATCCCTCTTGCTTACTGACCTGTTTGCCAGCACATCAGAGAAGGGTGAGTGGAGTACAGGGGCCCCTCCATGTGGAAACCACTGCTGTGTGGGAAGGTCCTGTGGGGGAGGGGCTCGTCTGAAGGGGAAGTGCAAAAAGGGCACCGGTGTCGTCTGACCTCCTTAAACTTCATGATGGGGAGACAGAACCACCATCAGCAGGCCTAGGCTATGAGGCAGATGTCAGACATGTTGCCACCCTCCAACCTTTCCACCAATTCTGACACCAACCGTCTCTCCCATGGCACTTACTACTTCTCTGCTGGGTCTGGGAATTTATTGCAATGGCCGCACGCAACTCAAAGACAAAAGTCACAATTACAGGGTTTCTTAAGGAAGTAAGAGGTTACAATTCAGGATCAGAAGTGGTCCGGACACAGTTCTTCATTCAGGTCAGCCTCCCCTCAGCCCTGCCCAAAGCCAGGCCTCTCTCTGGCCCTTGGCCCCTGCCCTGCTCGGACAAGTGTTAGCTCTTTTAGCTTGCTCTGCTGCCACAGTCTCTCTGCTGTATGTTACAGCTCTCTCCCGAGTCCTGGGTAAAGGAGGTCCAGCGTAGGGATCTTGGGTCCACGGATGACTCCACTTCTGGTTCTTTCTTGACAGTACTGGTGTCCTTTCCACCTCTGGGACAGGCCATTTTAAACCTAGCTGATGGCTAAACTGACAAGTCCCCATATTAGGGTTCCACACACCTTGTTTCCATGGTCCCACCCCCACAAAGGTGTCATTATTAACAAGCTACCCAATCCCCTTGGTGGGCCACAAGAGCCTCACATTTGCACAGTCCCACCCAGTCATTTTCGCATGAATCAAACTGAGGAGAAACAGCTGCAAACACTCATTAATGATCAGAATGTGGAATGTACGAAGTACGTTTTCCAATCTAGGAAAATTAGAAGTTTGTCAAAAAATGAAATGGAATGCATAAAAATTGATATCCTATACCTTAGTGAGCTGAAATAGACTGGCATGGGCCATTGTGAATCAGACAGTCATATGGTCTACTGTGCCGGGAATGACAAATTGAAGAGGAATGGCATCACATTCATTGTCAAAAAGAACACTTCAAGATCTATCCTGAAGTACAGTGCTGTCAATGATAGGCTAATATCCATACGCCTACAAGGAAGACCAGTTAATACAACTGTCACTCAATTTTAAGCACCAACTACTAAAGCCAAAGATGAAGAAAACTGAAGTTTTACCAACTTCTGCAGTTTGAAGTTGACCAAACATGCAGTCGAGATGCATTGATAATTACTGGTGATTGGCAGGTGAAAGCTGGAAACAAAGAAGAAGCACCAACAGTTGGAAAATATGGCCTTGATGACAGAAAAGACGCCAGAGATCGCATAATAGAATTCTGTAAGACCAACAACTTATTCATTGCAAATACCTTTTTTCAACAACATAAATGACGACTCTGTGTGGACCACACAGGAATCTAATCAACTACATCTGTGGACAGAGGCCATGGAGAAGCCCAATATCATAGTCCGAACAAGGCCAGGGGCTGACTGTGGAAGAGACCATCAATTCCGCATATGCAAGTTCAAGTTGAAGCTGAAGACAATTGAAACAAATCCATGAGACCCAAAATACAACCTTGATTATATCCCACCTGAATTTAGAGATCATCTGAAGAACAGATTTCATGCATTGAATGCCAGTGATTGAAGACCAGAGGAGTTGTGAGAATGGCATCAAAAACATCATACGTGAAGAATGCGAAAGGTCTTTAAAAACACAGGAAAGGGACTTCCAGTAAGAGGGAGGAATAGGCAGACAAGTGACACAGACCCTCAACAAAGAAAAGAAAACCAATTGATAGAGATGCAGAAGATAATCCTGGAACTCTGAGCTTTGAAAGGAACTATACAGAAGTGGATTGGGCGCCAACTGGTGGAAAACCTGAACGAAAACAGGACCTAAGAACAAGATCTATTTGCCAAGGTCGGGAAGGACATATGAGAGGCTGACAAAGGAAAGACGACAGGTGGTGAGTGTATAAGTGCTGTCAACTAGTGAATAGAGGAGCACAGCACAGTACCCTGCCTGTATAGATAACATACAACAAAACAAAGAAAATGAAAATTGTGGGCAAGTCACTCCAACATATAATCACCAATTAAATATAAACACAAAAAGGCCACGATAACTCAGGGACAACAGAGCATCACAGTCCACACAAAGAAGCAAGATAAAGCAGGAGAAACAAGGGACCAGGATACAGACCCAAAACATATCCCTGAGGAAGACACAGCATTGGAAGTCCCTGATAAAGAATTCAAAAGAATTATATTTAGGTATCTTCAAAGGATTGAGAGACAGACCAAGGAAAACACAG